CGCACTTGCCGCCGCTGCCGCTGCCGCTGCCGCTCCTGCTCCTGGGGCCCCGGCCCAACTCCCTTAACCCCACACCTGCTGGGCCCAAGCGCAGCCTTTCCTCGTTGGGAGAGGCTGTGGAGGGCGGGGAGAAAGGGGAGGAGCCTGCAGAGCGGCCAGGGATTTCCTTACTTGTAGGCACTTGCTGCCTTTGGCCTGCAGGCACCGCGGAGTGGGGAGGAACCGATAGGAGCTCTCCGGGTACCTACCACCCCGTGAACGCCCGATCGATGTTATGGTGCTGCCGAAGCTGTTATTGTCCTATCTTTGCTAGCTTTCACAGTCACTGTACGAGGAAGGTATTGTTATTCTCCCCTGTCCCTCCCTGTTTTGAAAAGTGGATTATGATGACAATTTTAAAAAATGCCCAAAGTAAAGGGAATGGTATAATGGACTCCCAGGTACCTCTCGTGCAGTTTCAACAATTATCAACTCACATCCACACCCCCTGTTGTGCTGTGTGGGATTATTTGAACCAAATCCTAGACATCATATTATTTCCCTCCTTAGATGTGGAAATGGAGACTCAGAAGGTCCAGAAAGGGTATCAGTGGGAGAGCAGAAGCATTCACACACTCAGGTGTGTCCTTGTCTGTCCCCCATACAGAAAAACATCATACATGTACACAAAACCACCTACACTGGTGCACCCGAGGATGAACTGCTGGTCCCAAGCACGGGTTCCTCTCCCACCTCTCACATGTCCCATTTCTCCCACCCCTCGCTCCAGGTGGAGCCACTTCAGTGGTCGGGCGATGGGTCTGCCAAGTCTCCTCCCGCGATGGGGAATCCACACACACTCATCAAGGGCCAACCATATGGTTGGTGTGAAAGAATAAACCTCCAACTGCCATTGTCTCTTTTTTGGCACCCCAACCAACATTCTAAGAGGAATTATTTTAGCAAAAGCCACCTCTGCCTTCATTCCTAAGTGCAGAAAGAAATGAATTCGAATTAATTTTGATCAAACGAAACTGTTCCCGAGTATATTAAAAATCCCTCATATTTGTTCACCTCACATAAATTATCTGGTAGATTCTCAAACAGACCTGGGCAGAGATGGGATGGGTTTTAAGTTCCAATGTTTCTGCTAAGGAAACAGGCTCAGAGGCATTCAGTTATTTGCCCAAGGCCTCAGCTAGTAGGAGACTAGCGCTGGGCTGTCTGACATCCCTTCTTCCTCAGCTTTAGCTCCTGGAAATTTTTAACCAATATTTAGGATTAGGAATAATTAAATGATGCAAAGCCCCTTGGGCCCCCATGCTTATATATTTATCATTTATCTCTTTGTTAAAATGCATCTGCACTCCTGCCTCTCTCCCTTCGTGGTAACAATGGCTACCATAGCCAGGTTCTGAGGCCTCCCAAATATGAAGTCCAAGAGGCAGCCCCCCCGCCGAGAAAAAAACAAACTCTCTCCCTCTGGCAATATTCAGAACATATTCCTGTTGCTCCACCCCCCAGATTCTTCTTCTTTCAGCTCTGACTAGTTACAGACTATTCAAAATCCATCTTTAGACCCTCCCCTTCCCATGGCTTTAGACCCTCCGTATCATCTTGGACTTCTCTGAGTCTATAGTCTCAGGGAGGGTATTGGTCTCTACAGAAATGTTTGTTGAACCAATCAATAAAACCTCATTCACACTAAGGTGTAAAAGAAAAAAAAAAACCTGTTGTTTTAATGTATTACCTCTCTTGGGGGGCATTTATAACAGCCCTTTAATGTATGGGGCCCTTTACTCTTGTATCCATTACTGCCCCCAATATTATTGAGGTAGGTATGAGATGAGGCAACTGTGAGAGGTTGCGCTATTTGCCCAAAGCCACACAGCACATCTTGAGAGACTGCCATATAAAGTAACATTCACAGCTTCCAGGGATTAGGGCGTGGGTATCTTTTGGAGGTCCATTTTTCAGCCGGTTAAGGGTAGAACTGAGGTTTTCTTGCAGCTAGCCTGCACCAAAGGTAATTCCAAAGGAGGAATTTCTCATGGAGCTGATGAGAAAAGTGATGGGGGAAGGGGGCGAGGTCTCAGCCCTGAGCGACCATCCGGCCTTGGCCAAGGTGGCTGCAGTCAGACCTATCCAGAGCGCCCGGGTCCGAGAGGGCTCCGCCCGCGGAGTCAAAGGTTGCAGGGAGGATGACTTGGGCTGCGGGGGCGGACTGGCCCAGACTGAGCCCAGAAAGTGAAAGAAGGCCCAGGCGCCTGGGAGGCTGGAGGGATAGAGGACCAGCACCCAGCGAGCCAGCACGGTGCCCTCCCGCACCTGGGGGGGGCGGCGGGAAGCTGGCGTCCAGCCAGTGGCGCACGCCCCCTGCTGGGCAGAGACAAGGAAGGTCCCGCTCCG